GTCCAGTCTGTCCAGGTCCCTCTGGATGGCAGCACAGCCCTCAGGGCTATCAGCTACTCCACCCAGTTTGGTATCATCAGCAAACTTGCTGAGGGAGCACTCCAGCCCTTCATCCAGGAGGATGCTGTGAGGGACGGTGTYAAAAGCCTTGCTGAAGTCCAGATAGATGACATCCACCGCTCTGCCCTCATCTGTCCAGCCAGTCASTCCTTCATAGAAGGCTATCAGGTTAGTCAAGCATGATTTCCCATTGGTGAATCCATGCTGACTATTCCTGAGCACCTTCTTGTCCTTCATATGCTTGGAGACAACAGCTGTTCCATCACTTTTCCAGGGATGGAGGAGAGGCTGACTGGCCTGTAGTTGCATGGGGCCTCCTTTTYGTAGACTAGTGTGACATCAGCTTTCCTCCAGCCCTCAGGCACCTCCTCCATTCTCCGGGAGCTTTCAAAGATGACAGTGAGTGGCTTAGCTATAACATCCACCACCTCACATAGCACTCTGGGCTGCATCCCATCGGGGCCCATGGATTTGTGGGTATCAAKTTGCCCTAAGTGCTCCTTGACCCAATCTGCCTCTACCCAACCCAAGTCTTCCTCTCTCCAGGCTTCTTCTCTTGTCCCTAGGGCCTGGGATTCCAGAGGGCTGCCCTTGGCAAACATCAAAGCAAAGAAGGCMTTAGTTGAAGAAGTTCTTATTATTTTTAACATTCATTGCCAGATTTTGCTTTAGCKTTCCCTGTCACACCCCTGCATTCCCGGATAACATTCCTGTATTACGACTAGGGGCTGGTTCTTTCATCCGCATTCTGTATACCACTTTCTTCTGCTGGAGTTTTGCCAGGAGCTCCCTGTTCATCCACACAGGCCTCCTGCCCCTCACCTGACTTCTTACACACAGGGATGCACCGTTGCTGAGCGTGGAGGAAGTGCTTGAGAACTACCCAGCTCCCCYGGGCCCCTCTTGTGCTGGGCCCCTCTTCCTTCTAGAGCTGTAGCCCGTTATGAGGAAAGACTAAGTGAGCTGGGCCTGGTTAGCCTGGAAAAGAGGAGACTGAGAGGGGATCTAGTCAATATGTCTAAGTACCTGAGGGGAGAACGCAGGGAGAATGAGGCCAAATCCTTCTCGGTGGTGGCCAGTGGCAGGACAAGGGGTAATAGGGACAAGTTGAATCCCAGGCAGCTCCATGTACATGTGAGGAAGAACTTCCTTCCTGTGAGGGTGCCCGAGCCCTGGCACAGGCTGCCCAKGGAGGCTGTGGAGTCTCCTTCTCTGAGGATCTCCCAAACCCGCCTGGATGCCGCCCTGTGCCCYGTGCTCTGGGTGTCCCTGCTGGAGCAGGGGGTTGGACTGGGTGATCTCTACAGGTCCCAACTTCAACCACTCTGTGATTCTGTGATTTATATAGTGGAACAGTTTCAAAAGGCAAGAATGGTACAAAGCRTGGCCTAGCGGGTAGACTTCACGT